GATATAATATTCATCTTCATCATCCTCATCTTCTGATTCTTCCCTGGCTTCTTCTCTTCTTTTGGCTTTTTGTTTAGGTTTACCCGGTGTGTTTGTCTTACTTTCCAGTGGTAAGTGATCACAAGGCAGGATGTGATTCCTGTGGAGTGTCCTGGACTTCCCTTTCCCATTTTCAGGTCTCAATTCATACACAGGTACATCTTTTCCCACCTGCTGCACCACAGTATGTATGGTGTGCTCCCAGTAATTTCTGAGCTTTCCAGGACCACCACGAGGTGTTAAATTCCTTATTAGCACCCGGTCACCTGGGAACAACAATGTGCTCCTTACTTTCGCATCGTAGATTCTTTTGTTTCTGTGAGCACATTTCTGTGCATTTTCTTGTGCAATTGTATAAGCCTGCTGCATTCCTTCCTTCCACTGCTCGACATAAGCATGATGATCATGGCTTCCTGTTTCTGTTGGTAGGCTGAACAACGTGTCTATGGGCAGTCTTGGGGAGCGACCGTATAACAAATAAAATGGAGAAAATCCTGTCACCTCTGTCCGTGTGCAGTTGTAGGCAAAGACAAGCTTATTTAGGGAGTCTTTCCAGTTTGCCTTGTCCTTATCAGTGAGAGTTTTGAGCATCTGAATCAATGTCCGATTAAAGCGTTCGACTTGACCATTTCCCTGAGGGTGGTATGGGGAAGTTTTTGAACCCGCAATGTTGCAATATTTGTCAGCTGAGAGAAAAGTTGGTTTTCGAACTCGCCTCCCTGGTCATGGTGTAGACGTGCTGGAAATCCAAATCTCATCGCATAATCATTGAAGATTTTGTCAGCTACTATTTTTCCAGATTTTGATGTCTTGGGGTAGGCCTGTGCAAATCGTGTGAAATGATCAACAAGCACCAGTATGTATTCATAGCCACCTGAACACCTCTCTAGATTGAGAAAATCCACAGACACAAGTTCAAATGGCTGCGTGGTCACTATGTTTAAGAGGGGAGCTCTTATCCCTCGGCTAGGCTTTTTTTGTTTCAGACAGGTACATTTCATCACATACTGTTCTATTTCCCGCTGCATATAGGGCCAAAAAAACGATCCCTGATCAAAGATACTGTCCTGTCAGTGCCCTGATGACCCATCTGGTCATGTAGGTCATGTAACACCCTTGCTTTGTGTTGCTCTGGGAGAACCAATTGTTTCCGATGGGCAGTCTTTCTCCAGAGCACCCCCTATCTGCTACTAAAGCAGGGTTCCAATGAGTATCCAGCAGACTGCAGACAGAGATGGGCATTGACCAAGAGGCATTTGACTCGGACTGTGTCTCTACTGCCAGAACAGTTGCTCCTACAGCATCATAGGACATTTCTTCTGTGCACCCAGCCATGAAGTTCTCCACATCCAGTGGCATTCGAGACAAACTATCAGCATCAATGTTTTCTTTGCCTGAACGATATTTAACGGGGAAGTTAAAATCGGCAAGTTCTGCAACCCATCTGCTGCCTGTAGCATTTAACTTTGCAGTTGACAATACATAGGTTAATGGATTGTTGTCACTGTAAACCGTAAAGAAGGGAGCATAGTACAAATAGTCGCGGAACTTTTCTGTAATGGCCCATTTAAGAGCAAGAAATTCCAGTTTTCCAGAATGGAGATTGTAGTTTCTTTCTGACACCGACAGCGTTCGGGAACCATATGCAATAACACGCAACTTTTCATTTTGTTTTTGATACAGGACGGCTCCCAGGCCCTTACTGGATGCGTCTGTATGAAGAACAAATGGGAGAGAAAAATCTGGAAATGCTAATATAGGTGGCTGAATCAGACAATTTATCAGCTCCTCAAGGACTCGTTGGTGACTTTCTGTCCATTCAATTGGGGTGTTAGATGACACTACTTTTGGATTCATATTTCTTTTTGAATTTCTTCCTTTAACGGGTGACTGACATTGATCTTTAACTGGTCCCTTGGTTAGGTCATACAGCGGGCCAGCGATGCGGGAAAAGTCTTTGATATATTGGCGGTAATAGCTCAACAGTCCCAAAATTTGCCTTAACTCACCAACTGTTTTTGGTTCCTTGTCCTTTAAAACCCGGACAGCCGCAGTGTCAGAAGGATCTATTTTATTACCCTCTGCTGATACAATCCTTCCAAGATAGCGAATTTCGGTCTTAAAAAGCTCACATTTGCTAGGTTTTAGCTTTATTCCATGTTGTCTGAGTCTTTGCAAAACTTTCCGAACATCATTAACATGGTTTTCAAATGTTTTGCTGAACACTAGTGTATCATCCAAATATGGTACACATATTTTGTCACGAAGTCCTTCTAGGCACTCTTCCATGCAGCGTTGGAAGGCTGCTGGAGCATTCATAAGTCCAAATGGGATCCTGACCCATTCATATAATCCCCAGGGTGTAACAAAGGCTGTCAGTGGCTTACTGTCTTTTGCCATAAACCCCTGATGATACGCCTTTCCCTGGTCAAGCAGTGAGAACATGGTGTTTCCGCCAAGTCCATTCATAATATCCTGGACTCTAGGGATTGGCTGTCGATCAGGATGAGTTTTTCGATTCAGGTCTCTGTAGTCAATGCACAGACGCAGTGAACCACATTTTTTCCTAACACAAACAACAGGTGAAGCGTAGGATGAGTGAGATTTCTCAATCCATCCATTGACAATCAAATCGGTTCAGTAGTCCTTCATTTCATCATATAGTGGTTTAGGAACAGACATGTAGGTCCGAGAAACGGGTTCTGGATCTTTTAAGTTAATCTTTAATTGAAGCTTCTCTATACACCCAATGTCACTGTCTGATCGCGAGAAGGAATCTGACTCCTCCCTTAACATCTTAGTTACAACCTGTCTTTGAGCCTCATTCAAGTGACTGAGATCAATTGGGGGATCCCAGCGTTCTGAGGAAACATCACTATCTTTGGTGTTGTGAGTCTGAATATGATTCACAGAAGCAGACAACTGTGCATCGTTGTCTATGTAGAATGGATACACGGATGTAGCTGGCTGTGCTGTGCCTACAACTACCTTTTTTGTTGATGTGATGTTGTGATCAGTATAGTTTTGTACACTTAGGATAACATTAGGTTGCATGCCTTTCTGTACCTGAAACAGTGTGTCACAAAACTGGAGTCCCTCTGGCCACAGTGGGTTTTCATCTGGTTCAAACACTAAAGTAGTGTCCTCTTTGAATGGTCTGGCATTTATAGTGCATTTCACTTGGACAGCACTATGGCTTGGTACATGCATCCTCTGACATGCTGTTCTTACAAGATACTCGCTTATTCGCTCCACACTGACTGCTTTAATGAAAGCCTTTTCATTCCCTTTTTATAAACTTGGAAAAGCAGCTTTCACTATTTTTATAAGTCCCTCTCTCTCGTCATACTTCTTCATTTTTTTTTTACTGTTAATAATAACACGTTCAATAACATTAAAGCCAATAATGGGGCGGGGAAGTTGACTGCCTCTCATGTCAAGCATTGGAACATAAAACTCCTCAGGATCAGCTCCCAGTTTAAACATTACTTGCACCCATCCTATATACGGCATTTCTGTACCATTGGCTGCCTCAATTTGTAGGGGGTCACCTGGGCTAACAATTTCTATTATGTCTCTGAGTTTCACATCTGGGATGTTTTCCGCTTTCCAAGCTTCATCAATTGCAGAAACTTGTGAGCCAGTGTCCCAGAGTGCCTGTGTTTTCTTCCACTGTAAATGACAGCTAATGAGGCATTTTTTTCCAACCAGGTCAATTAATGTAGAGTCTTTCTTTGCTAGGGCGTTTTTCTTTTTACCTATCACAGTCTTGCATAGATGTACATTGTCAGAGGCTTTTTTGGTATTTTTAGAGTGCTTGCAGGTCTCTTTGTGTTCTGTCCAATGACTCTCCTGGCACTCTTTGGAACAATAGAGCACTCTTTTGCACAATGAACACTGTCCAAACCGTTGGTGTTCTTCCATCCCTCCACAGCTGGCACATTCTTGGGACATCTTGGCAGGTGTGGTTACTCCCTGTCCCGTGGGGGCAACCTTCCCTCGTTTAAAGGATGCTCTCTGGTAGTGGTGGCCAGGCCTCGGTATCCTCTACAGCCAGCCTGAAAATGTTCGCTGCTTCCGCACCTGTAGCAGTGCTGACAGAAGTTTTCTCCTTGTTGCTGGCATGCGAGGCACCTCGGTCCGGGGCGGGGCGCTGGGTATCTTTGAGGCGCAAATCTCTGTTGAAACTGAGTAGTTCCTCTCATTAACCTTGGACCACTGGTAGCTTGATATTCCTGCAGAGGCCCTCCCTGATAATTATACATGGCTGTCCCCTCCTTGTTCCAGGAAGAAAGATGTGGAGGAGCATAGGTCACGTGATGGGGGAAACCATATTCTGTCTCTTGACACATTGCAGGTTGCTCTTTAGTCTTATCCTCTTTATTATGAATGGATTCTCTAATTTGTGCAACCTCTGTTTTTAGGTCTTTGAGCAAAACCATATCTGCTTTAATTTCTTTTAGGTCTGACAGCACATCTGAGGGAAGTGCTGCAACATTTTGGTGGCCTCCTTGTTTCCGTTCATTACTTGAGTCGTTGGACTGAATTGCATGCATACCAGCGGTCCTCTGTGTCGTGTTCCTCTTCTTGTCCTGTCTTTCTTTATCATTAGCACAGGCAATATTCAAAACTTCTAGGAGTAGCTCATCTGAGGTACTTGGTTTCGATAAATGGGGTTGGAGATCAGTCTTTACATTGTCACTTTGAAGGCCTGTGAGGACTGTGTGCATGAACATGCTTTGCACTAATGCAGGATCGTACTTAAGGCCAGACTCAGCCTCTTGTGAAGCAAACAATATTTTCTGGCGCAAATCCATTGCTCTGATCACAAAATTCTGTGGTGTCTCCCTACTACTCTGCACTTCTGTGGTAAGCTGCTTGTATAACTCTGTTGCATTTCTCTCTTGATAGTGTGAACGAACAATTCTCCTAAGAGTGGGAAGGGACAGGTCACATTTTCCTTCTAGATAGCTACGCAGCTGTAGGCCAGGTACTATTGCCCTAATAACAGCATCCACAATCTCTGACTCAGGGTAGCCTTTACTGAGACCATTTTCAATTTGGCGGGCCAAGCTGGAAAATGTTAGTCTGTCTTTTTGCCCCGGGTCACCAATTTGACCTGCAATTTTAAAGTCCTTTCTCCATGAGGGGTTGTCTACATGGACAGGAGCAGCCTGGACTACTACAGTTTCAATATTTTTTGCATCTTTGTTAGCCAGAGCTTGGATTTCAATTTCTTTCTGTTGAACCATGAGTTTTAATTGTTCCAGTTCTCTGCCCAGTTTCTCATGTTCCTCATCTTCCTTTTCTTGAGCGCTGTTTTTGACAACTCCCTGCACTGATTGTATCATGTCCATTAAACTCAGCAATGCTGACATCCCATTGTCTTCTAGTTGTCTTAGTTCATCACCGTCAATATACTTGCTGATCAGTGAAACAAGAGCATTACGGGTCTTGCCTGTAGTATTTTCTCTGTCTGTTCCTGAAATTCCAAGGTAATCATATATTCTGATCAGATGGTCAGTGGTAGATTGGAAGAGGGCTCCTTTAATCTCAAACAGTAGATTGTCAACTTCTGAATCCATTTTCTCTTTCCTATTTTTTTCTCTCTTTTTTTTTTTTTTTTTTTTTTTTTTTTTTAGAGATGTTGAAGTTGGCTAAAGAATATTGATTTTCCAGTTACCACAGAACTGATGTTCCCTTGTAGCTTTTTTTTTTTTTTTTACCTCAGCATACACAGTCCTCCTGGTTGGGTATCACCTTGTTGCAACTGCACACTCCACTTCCTGGGTTGTAGGTTATGAAAATGGTTTGGTTGATGTGGGGTGTTCTCTTCTGGTGTAGAGTTCCAGCCTCACAATGGCATGTGTAAAAGCCCTGAAAAGGGGGATAAGTGAGTAAATAAGCCACAGACACGTTGTTTCCTCTGCTGTAGCATGTATTAGCTGAATTATCATAACTTACACACATACAGAAACATTCCAGACTTGAAACAAACTGTATGGTTTCTTTGTGGACCATTATGTTACACAAACATAACAATAACAAATAGTATAATCAATATAATGCTATACACACACATGGATCTACATTGGCTGCTATGAGCTATCAGCTAACTGTACAAAACATTCTTAACAACAAAAGATGTGCACATAGTTGGTAATGAAACATATTCACGAGCTGTCTAGCACTTAGTAAACCCACTACCAAAGGCACAGATGTGTTTATATGCAGATTCATACCTGAAAAGGGGGATAAGTGAGTAAATAAGCCACAGACACGTTGTTTCCTCTGCTGTAGCATGTATTAGCTGAGGAGGAAGTTCCAGTGCTCTTTAGTATGGCCAACTCACGCTAGACTCCCCCTGCTGGTCATATATGGCACTACATGTATAGAACATGACTGTACTTAAACCAAACTGCTGGTAAGAACATCATATATGTGATATATAAAAAAAAATAACTTTCAGATCTATAAAACATAAAGTGTGCAAATATAACCATAAACAGTAAACACATCTGACTTATAATGAACACATTTCAATCCATCACATTTGCAATTTCTTCTTTATTTGTTATAACTGTGCTGTACTCCACAATATATTCCGGGTAATATGGTCCACTAGAACCATGTCCAATGACAGTGTTAATAAGGTTCCAGATTCCCTTTATATCATTTTTTTTACTATTAAGTTGATCAGAATAATATTGTTTTCTACATTCTGTTTTTATACATGTTAATTTATTCTTATATCTTTTATATGTAACGTCAGCTTCTGTTGATCTTCTTTTGAGAAACTGTTTGTATAAATAGTTTTTCAGATATTTCAGTGGATACCTTGAAGAGGTCCAGGCTAGTTCTGAGAGAGGGAACTGGTTGGGTCCAGAGACTGTTGGTTCAGCAGAGTGCTTAGGCAGCAGCAGCGTCTAGCTTCTGACTTCCAGTGAAAAGACCTTGGTTGGAGTGATTAGCTCCTTCCTAAGAGCAGCAGGTGGATTCCTGAGTGAGGACTTCAGGTTTGGCTCTTGGCAGGCAGGCAGGTTACAGGTTAAGCTGATCCAGAGCTTCTCTCGAGAGACTGGTTTCCTAGGAGCGAGAAGACAGAGGCAATTAGAATTAGGATTCTCCAAGAAGATAACGATTAGTAATTTCAGAGGCTCAGGTTCGCTAACCAAACTTGGCTAACACTGCGGCGTCGAAGGAAGGTCTGGCAGCTGCCTATAAAGGCAGGTCTCCTGATGAGCTGATGAACGTCAGCTGTGCTGGAGGGCTCCAGCCCAGGAGGATCCACAGCGCACTCTGCTGGAGAAGGTGGAGAATCTCCAGATCCCAACAGCTCTGGTCTTGTCACGGCCTCTCATAGGTGGGGCCCCTGAGCAACATGTTTTATACGATTACCCTTCTGTTATGCCCCCAGTGCTCCTTCTCAATCCTGTAAAAATGCAAATCATGTTAATGTCACAGCAAAAAATATTATTAATCATTCCAAAATGGTACCACACACATTCTACCTCACATGCATTCAACATTTAGGACAGACAGACAGACATTGGCCACATAAAGTTTGTTTAATCCATCAGTATCAATTTTGATTTTATCTTCTTAGAGGATTTTTTTCCCAATTTAAACAAAAAATCATAATCTTTTCACCAGTCCGGTCTCCAGACCTCTGCACCAGTGTTTGTCAGCCTCATTTTAGGATCCTTGTTAAACTATATGTGCACATTTATGGAAACCCAAGATTTATTTGCTCACGTTAGACACCAAAATAAGTTTTCACACCCAATGATTTTTAATTCGAAGCGTCCCCCAAAAATTATATGTTTGAATTTTCAAATAGGAGAAGACCTCTAAGGGGTTCTGAAAAAATGGTATGTTTTGTTTTTCTCCTGAAAATCCCATTACCTGTGTAGTTTTTTGGGAGGTGGGCACATAAAGATTCAGGGTGCTGTATCTGGCCCCCGTATCAACCATAAATGGACAGTTACTGCCCTCAATCAAAATATCTATCACTGGTGCTGGACTCACCCTCCATTTCATCTACTGCTGTCTGCCTCTCTTCTTTTTATCCACTGAACTCAACCTTCCTAATTTATCTATTTGATGTAACCCACTCTATTTTGAACAGTTGACTGAGTAAAGATCCATTTAATCCACCTTAGAGTATCCTCAGTGATCAGTGTTCAATTTATATTCACTTTGCTACAGTTTGACAAACTCAGCTTGTGTGGTCTAACATTTTCAAATATAAGCTCCTGAATCAGTCACTCTAAATGCAGATTCCAATACCATTCTAGTGTAGTAATTGGTAGATGTCTTTAAGGTAAAAACTGCTTCTAGACTCCTGGGCCCTGCCTCTGCTGTGATCGGCCCTGTGTGCACTCAGTCTCTCTGTGTCTTCTTTTCCTTTTCTCTCCTGCCTCTAAGTGAAGGGCTGCTCTGTGTGATCCACCTTCTGGAGCTCAATGTTGGGCTGGGGTTTACAGCACTGAAAATGTACTAATTGATCTTCTTACCTTTAAAATGTTAATTTCAAGACATCGTAAATTGTAAATATATCAACCTCTTATAATTTAAGCTTTCCTTTCCAAGGTTCACCTCCAAAAATCACAGAAACATCGACAACTTTTTCATAACAATAGGAACGAAAGACAACCAAAACCAAACACTTTCTGATAGAAATGATTTAGACCAGATCATATTTCTTTATAATCTGTTTATACTGACACATAATATGACAACTATTTTACACCCAAGACAGACATTGAATAAACAGCATACAACAGACAGACAGACACAGAACATAAATCACACCTTTTGCTCACACTGTGTATATAATTTGACCCCGACGTCTAATGTGAGATCCCTTGGTGCTTTAAACTATTTTTCTATAAGCTATAGTGAGCCGCCTTCTGTTAAGGAAGTGCGTCTGTCAAAAAATGTGTCCATCAAGGAAGTGTGTCCGTCAAAGAAATGCGTCCGTCAGTGAAAAAGGGAAGCACAAGAAAAAGAGAAGAGAAATTTAGAGAAAAGAAAAAAGAGATTAAAAAAGGATAAGAAGAGAAAAGAGAAAGAAAATATATAGTACCTCCTAGTTCACTCCTCCTCTTTAGAATTAGACAAAAAAGTTGCCTAATCCGGGCATCAGTCTCTTCTAGTTTTATGGGGATTATCATTTTATCGTCTCTCTCTTTTCCTTTTATAAGAGAAGAGAAGGAAAGAGAAAAACACCCCAAGGGTCCGTTTCAACCCGATCCGCTCGCTTTTATTTCTCCAGTCTCGGTTTTTCGTAAATGTCTTTATGGGAGTCATACTGGCAAACTCTAGCCGTAATGTGACTGGTATCTGTTGGTGCGTTTGTTTTTCAGAAATGCATCTTTCGTGTCTGCAGGCAGACCGCGAATAAAATCACCGTCCCTTTCTGCATGCAGAAACCTTTGGGCTCTCCAACCAACTTTTTCCTAGTGAGCAGTATAATTCTTGAAGGTGTTTGCGGAAGCGCCTTCAGTCGGACTTTCAACCGCTACCCACAGCAGAACGCACGACTTACTTCCTCTCTCTCTCTCCTTTTTTTTCTTCTTTTTTTCATGTGTACACGTTCGCAATGTAAAAAAAACAACAAAAACAACAAAACAAAACCGCAAAAACAAAAAACTAAATCACTCTGAGCAATTTCTCTGTCGTCCTTTGCATATAAAGATCTCAGCTCACTTCAAAAAATCACAACACAGCCAAAGTGTTTTAACATTAAAAACACTGGAGATATTTTGTAATAAGGAATCTCCTCACCTTATAAGTTGTTTCGGCCGCAGGCTGTGGAGCTTTTTCCATCGGTGGCTCTGTTGTTTTGCTTCCAGGTCACGGGCGGAAACACCAATTTGTTAAAGTGAGGAGGATTTGTCCCCTTGGAAGGAAGGCTGTAGCGCCCCGGGGGCCTCCTCACCGGTTCTTTTCCTGGGAGCAAGTTATTTACTACTCTTAACTCAAACTGGGTAAAACCATATGAAAAGGACTATAAAAACAGGAGTAAAAAAGTAACAGAGTTAATTCCAGATCAGGTCGTTACAGGACAGAGAAAAAATGCTTAGAGCTTGCACAGCTGTGGTCTCAAAAATCACATCCGTGATCTGACTAACAAAATAACAATGCACATGGTGTATAAATAATAAAACCTAACAGTTTGTGTGACGAGACCCATCATCGGTTACTAGTTCAAGTTGTATGACATCATTCCTAGATGCGAGCGGTCTTATTCTTTCAGCCAGATTGGATAAAACATTCATCATGCTGAGGAATATTTCTGCTAAATCTCCCTCTGAACCATTCTGTTTTAGTGAAAGCTGTTCCCTAATTTCCACATTGTTAAAATTTTCTCTGTTTAGGGTTTGTACTCCTCCCCCACCACCAGATTGAATAACATTTTGAGAAGGAAGGGGATGGCTTAACGGTAAAAGATTTTCACTAGAACGAGAAAGTCTGGATAATTCGCTCAGAGCTTGCTCCAAGCTAATTAAGTGTTCTAGATGATTTTCTTGCTGCAGAGGCCGACTGTGAGAAAGAATTGTATCTTCTAAGGGAGAGGTCGGATTTTAAGGCGAACCAGCATCAATTAAAGGGCTTATATCATTGGCAATATTTCGCAAATTCTGTAAAACCGCTTCAGAGACAAGTTCATCTAAACAATCTGGTTGTGCTGCATTTTGATTATCACTAGAAGGAGAATGTCTGGATAATTCGCTCAGAGCTTGCTGAGTAAATCCTCCAACTTTTCAATGTGTGCTTTGACTGACCCTGATTCTGAAGAGCTGAACTGAATCTGTGTGAAACAACTTTGTGTTATGATTTTAACATTTTGC